GATTCTGGAAATTGCACAGCACAAAACTTCAAAGAAGCTCAGAGCCAGACAAGTAAATACCTTGAGAGAAAGGAAGAACTTGCAGACAGATCTTTTTGCTTGAAGTGAATGAGAAAATGAACATTGGTTGCCCCTGTTGCTCAGCCCTTTGACAAAAAATTTACATAGAGAAGGTTCCCAAGGGGTAGGAGGACCATCACCATTAACATATTTATGTTCGTTGCCAGATATGTCTTCTGTATATTGAACTCTTACCTATCGAACATGATGAGCAAGTAGAAAGATCAATTCAATATCTTTTTTGGGTGAATAATATCAATTCAACATCAAGAACGGTTTTTACATGACAAAAAAAAATGCAATACCTCTTTGATTATAGTTGCTAAATTTTCAGCCACCTCATGTGACAGAAAGTAACTACAAGGAATGAATGGCACAGAATTACATTTCCTTGTTTCATTTGGAAGCTCAGAGTGCTCATCATCTGCAGCCATAGTGTCTGTATTTCCATTTTGCTGACATGTGAGAAGACATGTATGTTGAAACTCGTAAGGCTCATAATACAACGGTAGACCATCAGCTGTAGCCAGAAATTTGGGTCGAAGGTGGTGAACTGAATTTAGTATATCTTCATCTGCAGAAAAACGCACTCACCGTGAGACAAAACTCAAATCATGGTTACATACACATGAGATTGTTAAACCCATACATATTTCTGCGACATGGTTTAGTGATGGCTGAACGAGATTGTGGAAAGAACGCCATTCGTCTTTGGGGACCAACACTTGTGCAGCTTTCATCTCATCAAAGTGTAAAAGTTGTTTCAGCCGATCAAGACGGAGCTTATCCTTTAAGAAGTAGACAAACGAATAAATTTTCGAATTCCATTGAGAAAGACAATCTTCCAGAAATTCAAGTGTAATAAACTACTTTACCTTGTAAACGCATTGCCAAAACTAAAATGCACAGAGGTTTGCCAAAAATACCATTTCCTTTCTACCAGTTAGGGCAGTACTCTTATCATCTCCAGAATAATAGCAGTCAGTGTACTCTGCATACTGAAGAATATATGCAATTAATCAGAAAGAGGAATTGTTTGAGTAATCAAATGAAATAATGAAATTCTGAAGCTAAACAATTTAATAAATATACCAAAATGTCCTGCACAAAAGGACGTAGAATAGGTAAAGGTTGTGCATCCATCAATACACCAAGTAGAATGCCTTCACGTAACATTCCCATATCTCCAAACTTCAATATAATCATGGAAGGATCAAATGACAATGAGAAACTTGTTGGAAATGGTAGAAAAATTCTGGGTAAAACCAGAATTTTTTCTCAAGTTTGGTCTATTTTTTAGGTGGGCCCCGAGCATCGATTTACTCTGGTCAAAGTGGTAACGCGTTCTATGCCGCGTTGTGATTCACGTGGTATATTTGGTTGCTCAAAACCATTACCGAGTGAATGGGAAATTGAAGCCAAAGTGTGCCCCATGGAAATGGAGTTTTGGTGGAAATTCCTTAAGGTTGTAAATTGGCTTGTCCCACATTGATTTGGTGGGAAGTTTTGAAAGGGTTTACAAGGCTTAGGTGAGATACTTGGGGTGTGCCCCAAGGGGTACCCAAGTGTTTTAGAGGGAGAGGTTATGGGAAAAATGGGCTAGACCCATTGGACCCAAAAATCACCACACACGCGCCGCCGCCGTCCGTCCAGGCGGGCTGGGCGCGGGTGTGTGGTTGGGTTGGGCTTGTTCGGCCCGATATTAATTTAATTTTTTATTAAAATAAAATCCAAAATTCAAATTAAACTGGTTTGGATTTATTGCTCATCCAAACAGAGCCATTCCCGTTTTTATCTGTTTGAATTATTAACCCAACAGATTCAAAATCTGTTTAAATTTGAAACTAATAGGTTTCATACATGTTCAATTCAAAACCAAGAGCCATCTTTACATCTATAAATAGACTAGCCTCCCATTTGGATTAATCTCGAAATTTTCGTACTCCATCCTCTGTTTTAAATCTCTACATTTTGCTGCATTTTATTTCTAAAAGAAAGAGTATAAACACTTAGTGTGTTCGTAAGGCAAACAATTTGTAGTGCTACTATTGTTTGTGGTAAGATCATTTCATCCTGGGAGATAGACGTCCAAATTTTGAAAGCACCGTGGAGAGGACGAATCTTTCTTAAGGACACAGTGTTAAACACTGGACTTGATCAGAAAAATAATTCGAAAAAATTAAATCAAGTAAGTTATTTAATTTATTTTCAGTGTTGTTTTTATTTGTTTATTTATTCAGATTTTAATTTTGTTTTTGTAACAAAATAAAATCTGTTATTTAT